GTGTCTATTTGATATAGTCATTACATATAGATCAATCCTCCATAAATAATTCATAATTAGAGTCAAGTAGAATCCGTTAACCTCTCTAATTATATATGCATTCTTGAGTACCATTGATTCTCTAATGGATAGTGATTCATAAAACTCATTCATGAACCAGAGCGCCCTTACTAATCTAAGTACCGAATCAACACTCAAGAGAATTATTTATCTACTTTTTTCTCAAGAAGGAATGGATTCCATCTCGTATAATAACATTCCCAGCTACCTATTTCATTATGTCTCCAAAATACAAGGAATAGGATTCAGGGTCTCGGAATCCGTACTGAGAAAATCAAAAGACATAAATCCATAAATAGGAGTTTGTTAAGAACTCATGATTAAGATCATCCTATATATGACCATCGGTAGACTCAATTAGAATTTCTATGCTTAAAGGAAATTATTAGAAATTCATATTGTGTCTGTGTCCTTGTTCCACATAATCTTATTATGTAAAATACACTCATTCAATATCTCGCCATATTAACAGTGCGGATAACACCGTTCCATTCTAAATGGGAATGACATGTATTAATAATGTTTTAATTAAAGATTCTGAACTTTAATTAAATTCATCATGAACAATATTTTTTATTATTATCCTTAAACACTATCCTCTCGTATATAACACTTATATACTATGTTTAAGGTTACATAAACAATCAAGAAATTTTCATTTGATATTCATAAAATATTCATAAATATATGCACATAAAATGATGAATAAACTCTTTTATTAATTGAATAATAAATATCATATTACATCTCATGCTTTGAGGACACTATTCCTAACAATATCTAGACATGTGTTGGTGAGACATAACTTTATAGCAACAATACGATATAAGCTAGGATTCGACAAAGGAGAACCATCAAAAGAATTATTGAACCTTGAGTTCAAGAGATATATTAACAAACTTATTATCAGTAATATGAGCATGCTCAAATATGCCAACTATAACTTACCAAGAAAGAAGATAACCTTTCGGAGAGGAGACGACCTTAATACTTAGAAAGTAACACGGAAAGTTTAAATCCTCTATTATAAAACAACGAGCTAACTCTGATTTTAGTGTTGCAATCTCATTAAAATCATCTCTAATAATAATCGTATCATCGACATACGTTGAAAGCATGATTCAGTCGACAATGTTACTTTTGATAAATAAGGCTAAATCATGATGATTAGATAGAAGCCATTTGAAATTATCATCGTTAATAACTTATAAAACATTGTTTGAGGTGCTTGTTTGAGAATATAAAGAGTTTTTTTTACTAAGTTTGTAAACTTCACCAAGTTGATGAACTTAGAGGAGGTATCACATAGACTTTTTCTTAAAGGTCAGCATTCGCGAAGGCATTTTTAACATCTATTTGAGATATGTGCTGGCGACGAATGGAGTCAACTGTAATGAAAGTGCGAATTGTAGTTATTTTTACAACTGGGGGGAAAGCCTCCTCATAATCCATACCATATTCTTGGGAGTACTCCTTAGCAACCAACCAAGCTTTGTATATTTCAATAGACTAATCAAATTTGGTTTTAATTTTATAAACCCAATGAGAACAATCTCTCATTTACTTGACAAAAGAGGCACCAAATCCCAAATGCGTGTTTGGTGCACTGCAATAAGTTCATCATATGCAGTATGTTGTCAAAGTAGATCATAAATGACCTCTTTACAAGATAAAGGCTAAAAAAATGAATATACGCTAAAAAGGAAATAAAAAACTAGAAACAATAATAAGTAAATATGGTAGCTGAGTGCACTTGCGAGTGTGTATAGGACGAGCAGGAGGAGGAATGATCACGAAAACTGAAATACATGCAATTTGAATAACACTCTTATTGTCACAATACAATTGAGTAAGTCGATGAAGAAAAATACACAAATATGCAAGTTGCATTGTTGCACTCAAAGATTGTTGCGCCTTAATCTTTTAATTTTGATAAAATACACTTTGAATTTGAAAATCAGTAGCAATTAAAGTTTAATAGCTGATGGGTGTGGCAACTTCTAATCCAAATTTTAATTTTGGAGATTAATATGACTTTAACATAGACTATAGACATGAGCTATAATTTCTAATCTAAATAAAATGAAGTAGAACGCAACAAAGTGTCACATTTTCAAATTCAACAAACTCAAAAAAAAAAAAAATGACAATATTTTGGTTGGAAGATTCAAATGCATAATTTAACTATCTAGAAATTTAATCAAGTTCGAAGACTTTTGCCTTAGCCAAAAAAAGTGTGTAGATTATTAGAAAAGAAATGTTCTTATATTTTATGCGCATTTGGAACCGTTTTTTAAAAAAAACAGTTATCACGGTTTTTGAGAAACAAAAATTGAAAATGAAAACGAAACGACGTTTGTTTAGCAAATGTTTTGAAAACGAAAATGAAAAACAGTGTGAATGGTTTTTATGAAGGAATTGAAAAATAGTTGAAAATTATTTTCACTTTTCTGTTTTTATTTTTTAGTACTTATCAACAATATTATAATATATTAATTAATAAACACGATTTTATTTTTTTACTATACTCAAAATAATCTCTTAAAAAACCAATCAAACGCAATTTCAGAATCGGTCATAGAATGATTCTCAAAACAATCTCATTTTTACTTCTTATTTAAAAGAAAATCATTTTGAAACCAATTCTAAACACACCCTTTATACCTTAAAAAATGGGCTTTCTCTTGTATTTTCTACTTATTAGCCATTGGATTTGTATTAAATATAGTCAAAAGTTAAATTAAATTAAAAAAATAATACAAATCCGATGACTGATGAGCATGAATACCGGTGTTCTAAAAAGAGAGAGAATAGCAAAGAAATCTCTCCTAAAAAACCAGAAAAATGAAATATGTCTATGAGAACACTTGTCGTCAGCTAATTGGGCAGTCCGCGTAATCTTTACAGAGCGATTATGACCTACAGCTCATTTCTCTGTAATCTTCTTAATGACGCTTCACTAGATGTACTTTTACACAAACACTAACCTTATTCGTCCCAAATGTACAACTGTAAACAGCACGGATACCATAGAAAAGCCTTGATCACAGTAAGAACGCAAACACAAGAAACCCACGATAAAATGTGAAAAAAAGAAGGGTTAAATTCACTTTACCCCCTCAAACTTTGTACTATTTGGCAATTACTCCCCTTAACAGAAATGCTTGACATTTATCTACTCACACTATAGTTTTATAATCTTATCAGTGACCCCCTCTGTTTAGACATTGTTTTTTTTGTTTTTTTTTTGTTATTATTACTATTATCATTCTTTTAATACACATGGTCGCCTCCATTGCATATAATCTATTTTTAAGGTTGACATTTGAAAATTTCTTTTTAAGATAATCTAGTGCCTAAAAAAGTATTTGAAAAGTTGTACAATCCCTTTGTGAAAACCAACTTTTATGCATATTTTCAACCTCTGTAAGTGCGTTTATGCATTTCTAAATAAAAAAATATTAATACCAATTAAAAAAATGTATTTTAGAATCCAACATTCCACATTCATAAAATTCCAAGAAAGAAAAATTGATGTGATTAAATGTCATGTGTGTTCTTTTTTTTTAATTTAAGGTGTTAATTTTCTAAATTCATTAGAAAGATAAGAAAATATAGAACTAGCCAAACACCAAACACTAATCAAAGAATCTTTTGTTGATGGTAAAGAAGTTTTCAGATAAACAGGTAAATGAGTCATGGTTTGAAGAAAGGGGTAATTTGACAGGAAAATTAGAGTATTGGGAATAAATGTAAATTTGTTTTTCTCCAGGGGTTTAAGTGCTAAATTATAAAATGATCAATAATATAAACGGGTAAAATGAATTTAACTCGAGAAAGAAAACACAAGAAAATCTGCCAAACATCACACACAAAAACACTTGTACGCAGAAGAAAAGAAAACAGACACAGAAAAAGAAGAGAAGAGAAAGAAAGAAGGCGAAGAAAAGACTGTTTTTTTGTTTTTGTTTTTTCATTTATTCATTTATTCCTTTTTAATTTCGCATATAATTCACAATCAGATCAGATCTTAGCCCCAAATAATCCCCAATTCCTCTTCCATTTCCATCGAATCCCTAATTCTCCCAGATCCAAATTCGCGTCAATTTCGATTAGATTGGAGCTTTGCCGGGGGAGTTATCACCATGGCGTGCATAAAGGGCGTGAACAGATCGGCGTCGGTGGCGCTGGCGCCGGACGCGCCGTACTTGGCGGCGGGGACAATGGCCGGAGCGGTGGATCTGTCGTTCAGCTCCTCGGCGAGCCTCGAGATCTTTAAGCTCGATTTCCAGTCCGACGATCGCGAGCTCCCCGTCGTCGGCGAGTCGCCGAGCTCCGAGCGATTCAACCGCCTCTCATGGGCCCGCCCCACCGACCCCGCCAGCGAGAAGTTCGGGCTCGGCCTAATTGCCGGTGGCCTCGTCGACGGCAGCATCGATATTTGGAATCCCATCTCGCTGATCCGGTAATTTTTGTTTTGAATTATCGATTTCGTTGCGTGTTTTGGGTCGAATTCTATCCAATTGAACTGAATTAGGGTGGAGATGTTCGTGGATGAGTGGGGTTGTGGATTTTGTTTGGGTAAATGTAGAGTTAAAGATTTGGAATTTACGGATTTTCGGTGCTAGAATGTAGTAGAATTGCGCGTAATTTGATTAAGTCAACTCATTTTGCAAATTGAAGTTTCACCATTTCTATGAAACGTAATGAGTGGGATCGTATTGCCTGAAACTGTTACTAAATGTGCAAACTTTACATTTATTTTTTATTTCGCGTGCGTTAATGTTTACTCTCATTATCTTTCACTTCAATCTATGATCCAGTACTCTTGTTTTGCTTGTGGGAAAATCGGGTATTAAATCAAAGATTGTTAATCGTGATTAAGAGTGACGAAATGAATGGTATGTGTTTGGTAAAAATGATGCTTTGTTTGATTCGGAGTGTAGGTTGATGTGGGAACTGTAAATGATCAAGCATAGCTTTGGTTGCCAGGAAATACATTGCATGTCTTGAGGATAAGTTTTAAGTTTTGATATGTATTTTAGTGAAGGAAAAATGAATTCTTGCAATCTGATTATCCTATGGGGCTTTAGAGCCCTTTTTGGTGCATGATATCAGAATGGATTCCCGTGACCATATTTTCAATTTTTCTTTCGGCATTATGAAGAACGATTCTGTATGAATTTCTAGCATTACATTTTTCCTCCTAGCCAACTCATGGTCGCTTTAACTTGATTGAGAAGATAAACTCTTGGGTGGATATTTTATTGAATTGTTGTGAAAATGAAGGCTCGCTCGCTGTATTTATTGAATTAACTAATATGTTCTTACTTCTGTCTTTGGTGGATTTTCATCGTTGTTGCATTGCTTATATACATTATACCTATCAGAACAGCCTTTGTGCAGCAACAGCTTATGAAATAAAAGTTGTCCAGGAGGGATTTAAATGGATTATATTTATTTAATCAGTGCTTTCTGTATCCGCTGCAAGATAACTTAATTGTTTCAATTTATTTCTTCCTTTCCACTTCTGAGCATTGGATTCTTTATCCAAGCGCATCTTGACTCCAGTAATCTTTTTAATGTATGTAGTTGATTGTGTTGCATAAATAGCTTTTCCTTAATTGGTTCATTCCCAGTGTTTTTTCGTTTTTTTAGTTTTCTGTGCTTTAAAATGTAAGGTGTTTGGTTTATGTTGCTTGGTTTTTTCGTTGTACTTGTTTATTAGTGAAAAAGTTGAAATCAATGATAAACTTAGTTTCCTTCTGAAGTTATTATTTCAATTGTTACTCCTTTAGGTCTGAGGCTAGTGAAAGTGCTTTGGTTGGACATCTCTCGCGGCATAAGGGGCCCGTAAGTTCCCAGCTTTGTAAAGTTCTTGCTTGTCGTTTATGATGACCTTTTCAGAACTTGGGAGGATTGATTATGACAGGGTGTAAATATTTATTATTTATTTATTTGAACATCAGGTTCGCGGTCTTGAATTTAATGTAATTGCGCCAAACTTACTTGCATCTGGTGCTGATGATGGTGAGATTTGCATATGGGATTTGGCCAACCCTGCAGAACCTTCTCAATTTCCACCTCTAAAGGTTTGTTGTAATGGGCCTTATGGCTAGTGTATCAAAGCCTTATCTTACTTTTTAAAGTCCTTTAAATACGTTTTTCTTCAATCCGCAGCATAGGCACAGACGTGAATAGTAGAGGCATTAATAATTTAGGAGAGACGAAATATCCTAATACAATATTCCTTTAAGTATTTCTAATTTTCTAATTTTACTTTTCCTAATGAAAGAGATTTACCTTTTCCTTGCTCGGAGAAAGAACCCTTGAAACACCTTCGTAAGATGTTATTATACATAGTTCCTTACAGATCTTACATACCTTGTAATTTTGTATTTGTGATTACTTTTCCTTTGAAACACCACATGACACAACTTAGAACCAATGTAGAATATGATTACTTTCCCTTTGAAACAACACATGACACAACTTAGAACCAATGTAGAATATGAACAATCTCTCTCTCTCTCTCTCTAGACAGATGAAGACCACATTCTACTGGAGGAACATTCTTAACATTTTGAGTTGTGGACGGGCCTCTTTAATAAACTATAAAGTTAAAGATATCTAGACATCTAACTTAGTGTGAGACATGATCAAGCAGGGTAGTGGTTCTGCTGCTCAGGGTGAAATTTCATTCTTATCATGGAATAGCAAGGTTCAGCTTATATTTGCGTCCACGTCTTATAATGGAACAACCGGTGAGCAGTGATTCGACACTCCAACTAAATTTCATTTAGTATTAGAATTGGGATTTTAAGAGTTTTATTTTTATTTTTTTACAGTGGTTTGGGACCTAAGGAAGCAAAAACCTGTCATTAGGTAACTCTTCTGTTGGTTCCTGGATTCGTTTAGTAATTAGCGATTTTCCTTTTATGATACGCAATGATCTTTCTGCGATCTGAATGACTTTTGGTCAACTGGCAGCTTCTCAGACTCAGTTAGAAGACGGTCCTCAGTTTTGCAGTGGCATCCTGATATTGCTACTCAGCTTGTTGTTGCATCAGATGAAGATGGTTCACCAGCTTTAAGGGTAATAACCTAGCCGATTTACTTATTATTTTTTTTTTCAACTGGATAAGTTTTTTCTTATTTTAAAAAAAAATGGTGTCTGCATGCAGCTTTGGGATATGAGAAATATAATGTCACCAGTTAAAGAGTTTGTGGGGCACACTAAAGGTGACAAAACAAAATACTTCTTTTTGTCTCTCTGTTTTCTTCAGTTCTCTTTCCAGTAGATCTTCCTTGTTTGAACTCGATTTAACATCCTCTAGTTTTTTCTGATGTGCATGTCTACGGCAGGTGTAATTGCAATGTCATGGTGTCCTAATTACAGCTCATATTTGCTTACGTGCGCCAAGGATAATCGAACTATATGCTGGGACACAACTTCCGCTGAGGTGTTACATTTATTTATACTCCCAGCAGCTCTTTCTTTTTTTTTTTTTTTTTTCCCCTCTCTCGCTCTCTCTCCATGTTGATCATGTTTTCTACTGTGATGCTAACTCTTCTCCTCCTTTTCTTTTTCTTCTTCTTCTTCTTCTTTCTTTTTTTTTTTTTTTTTTTTTTTAAAGATTGTTTGTGAGTTGCCAGCAAGCACCAACTGGAACTTTGATGTGCACTGGTATCCAAAAATACCTGGAGTCATATCAGCATCTTCATTTGATGGAAAAATTGGAATTTACAACATTGAGGTATTTCATTTGATAATCGATGATTATAATTTTCTACCTAATATTTGCTTCGTTAGATTTTGCATGCTTATTACGTGAGGAAATGTAACGGCCCATGGAAAATGGAAATAATTTCCCCCTTTTTTCCTTTGAAAAGTTGGAATTGAATATTCACATAGCTTTCTTTTGGTCAATAGCTTTGTTTATTGTTATTATTTATTATCTTAGATTTCATTATGTTGATCCTTTTTCTTTAGGTGGCACATGGTCCCTTCATTAATTGGTTTTCACTTATGTCAAATTCTGGTTTGTTATTGTTAAAATTAGCATTGCTATTTATCACTTATATGGTGCATCACCACATATGGTGATAAAGTAGAACTAACTTATGGTACAAAGTATAAGTGTGGGGTCGCATGTTGTCTGGCAATTTTGATAGACTGCCATGTGTATTGTGATGGAATCACTAGTGGTGATAAATAGCATTTTTCTATGAAAATGCACTTACTATTGTTATCCCCCATGCAGGGTTGTAGCAGATATGGTGCTGGTGAGGCTGATTTTGGTGCAGGTAATATAGATTTTAGTCAAATATATGTATAAAGTCAATAATCATAGTGTTGAACATTTTTAGGTTCTCTTTTGTTTGAATTGCTATGGCGGCATTATTACTTGTATCTTTAAATGATATCCTGTCATAGTTTTTCAAGGTTACCTTCTTTTGCAGCACATTTAAGAGCCCCAAAATGGTATAAGCGTCCAGTTGGTGTATCCTTTGGCTTCGGGGGCAAGCTCGTGTCATTTCACCCTAAATCATCTGTTGGAGGTGCTTCAACTGGTTCAGAGGTATGCATAACTGGTGCAATACATGCCTTCTATAATTATGGACTGTGGTTAATTGTCTCAATCTATCCAGGTTTTGGTACACAGTTTGGTGACTGAACAGAGTTTGGTGACTCGCTCATCTGAATTTGAAGCTGCAATACAAAATGGAGAAAGGTCCTTATTGAGGACCCTATGCGACAAGAAATTACAAGACTCTGAGTATGACATCAACACTAAAATATCTTAATTGATTATTCTTGGATGTACAAACTCACAAAAAGTTGATGTGTGTGTGTTTTTTTATCTTTATTTTTATTTTTCTTAATCTTGTCTGAAACAGATCTGAGGATGAACGGGAAACATGGGGCTTGTTAAAAGTTATGTTTGAAGATGACGGAACTGCAAGGACGAAACTTCTAACTCACCTTGGCTTCAGCCTACCTGAGGTAGAAAAAACTGATGTTCAAGATGATTTATCCAAAGAACTAAATTCTCTTGGACTTGAGCATTCTACGGTAGATAACGTTGGATTTGGGGAACATAAAGAAGCAATCATTTTCCCTTCTGACAATGGAGAAGATTTCTTCAATAATCTTCCTAGCCCTAAAGCTGATACACCATTGTCAACCTCTGGTGATAAGTTCATTGTTGGTGATGCTTTTCCCGGTAAAGATCAAGTCCAACAAGAGTTAGATGGACTGGAGGAGAGTACTGATCCCTCATTTGATGAATATGTCCAACATGCTTTAGTTGTTGGAGATTATAAGGGGGCCGTTGCAAAGTGCATATCGGCGAATAAATTGGCCGATGCTTTAGTCATAGCACATGCTGGTGGTGAAACCTTGTGGGAGAGCACACGAGATCAATACCTTAAGATGAGCCGTTCACCCTACCTAAAGGTAGGTTGCATTTCCATTTCTTAAAAACATTGACGCTCCTAAATTTACGGTGACAATTCTTTATGGATGCCTGAAATTTAGTCTATTGATGTTCTGCTTTTTGAACGTATTGTACTGTTTTCTTCCCCCATGGTGAATAATGATCTGTTGAGTCTTGTGAACACTAGGCCCCTCAAATTCTGGAAAGAAACTCTTGCTCTTCTCTGTAGTGTAAGTTCCTCAACTTCTAAGGTTAAATTGAAGTTCAGTGACATCTCATTCTTCGTCAGTTACGATCTTTTGTGTGTGTGTGTGTGTGTGTTTTTTTTTTTTTTTTTTTTTTAAATTCTCAAATGGAAACTTTATTATGGTAATATTGACACTAAGGCTATTTCACTTTTACACGGATAATCACCCAACAATGCCATGCTAATTCGAAGGTTGAATTGACTCCCTTCGTCTGGATTTGGCTCCAGTATGGTGCCCAACACTTTCAGATGGACACTGGATGGCATGAACCTTGATTTATCTCTCTGTAATATATGATTACATTAATAGTGATTGTTACGATGAGATACGTACTTGTGCAACAAAATGAAGTTGCTTAGTTATTGATTGGCTCACATAGTTCTTCTCATCATGAATGAACAGTTTGCATCAATAGAGCAATGGACTTTGCTTTGTGACGCACTAGCTTCCAAACTCATTGCTGCTGGTAATACACTGGCAGCAACTATTTGTTATATATGTGCGGGAAATATTGACAAAACTGTTGAGATTTGGTCAAGAAGTTTGGCAACTGAGCATGAGGGTAAATCCTATGTTGACCGTCTTCAGGTAAATTTGTTACTTTAATGGTGCACTTGAACATATTTCTTCATGCTTTCAAAAAAAAAAAAACATATTTCTTTATGGCTAGACAGTTACTGATGGTTATATACATATTTAGGACTTAATGGAGAAGACTATTGTCTTTGCCCTGGCATCAGGGCAAAAGCAATTTAGTGCATCCTTGTGCAAACTTGTTGAGAGGTATGCTGAAATTTTAGCGAGTCAAGGGCTTTTACAGACAGCGATGGAATATCTTAAACTTTTTGGTTCTGATGAAGTGACACCGGAACTTCAGATCTTGAAAGATCGTATTGCTCTTTGTACAGAATCTGGTACGTGATATTTGGTTGTATAATTGATTGGTGCATTAATGATTTCCTATGGGCATGTGCAGTATTCTTGACTTCTTTCACTCGATCACTGGATTGCAAGGCTTTCCTCTCTTTTGTGTTATGTTTGGCTCAAGTTTTCTAGAAAATCCTGTATTTCCTGTTCTAGATATGATTGGCAAGCATTGGTAGGAATAACTTAGTTGATTCCTGAGATAAATTGTATTTAGTAATTAACATGGAAATAGCTTGCCCATAGTGATTTTAATATTTATATGAGGTGATAAAAATCTGTTATTGGATGCTTACTCATTTATCCTCTAATCGACTCAGAGAAAGTTGTTGAGCCCAGTGCACCTAGTGGACCCGTCTATGGTAGTCATGACCGTAATTATGACATCCCTCCTTCACCTTATCAGGTACTTTCTTTATCTGCACTGTTGCCGTGTTATGAAAATCTGCTCTGCAACTGTCAATTGACCTTTTTGGGTAACTGTGCTATCATTATTGTAGCCCAATCCTATCAATCCCTATGTTTCAAACAATGGACCACCTTATGTTCCGCCATATGTGCCTCCTGTCCCGCAGCCTGCACCTCAGCCTCATGTGTTTGTTCCGCAGCAATCGACACCTCATGTTCCTAAGGTAATTTTCTTCTAATTATTTAATTTTGCATGTGATTTACTTAGGTATTTTATATTAGCTTTTTTCCCGTTTAGATGTTACTCTTCTGGTTGGAGGGGCCACTTGTACATATTAACATATTTTTATATTTTGCACTTTAGAATTTGCCATTTGGTTCATATGCTTGTGAACACGCTAACAAATATCCTAGTTTTTATTAGTATACTTTTCCCTTCTTTCTTTGAACTTATGGGAGCACAACAAATATGCATTAGATCTCTGTTTTAAAGTATTAGTTTTGTTAACGTCTTTAGTCATCAAGCCTTTGCTGTAATTTTTACCTAATTTCTTATCACGAAGTCACTTGTCTTTGATTGCAAGTTGCAAGTTACAACTAATTGTGTTAGGATCTGCATAAGACGACTGCTTATATCACTTTTCACTTTTAGGATAACTATTTTACCCCTCCCGCCTCCCATCAACCTAGTTTGAAGACCTTCACTCCTTCAACTCCTCCTGCGCTGAAAAATGTGGATCAGTATCAGCAACCATCTTCTTTGGCTTCTCAGTTGTATCCTGTACGTAAACCATTTTTCATTGTCATTCTACTTTGCTAAGATTCTGTTATGATACACTTACCATCTACTTTGTGTGTTTCAGGGAACAAACAACACTGCTTATCAGTCTGTGCCATCCGTTCCTCTTCCATCACAACCAACTCCTGCTTTTGGGCATAACGTGCCATTTGGTGTACCTCCCTATGTTCAACCAAAAGAATTCACTCCAGTCCCTAATCCTGGAGTAGTGCAAGGACCCGGTTCAATACAACCACCTAGTCCTAGTCATGCCGCACCTGTCCAACCTGTCGTGACAGCTCCACCACCTCCACCACCTACCGTACAGACGGCTGATACTTCAAATGTTCCTGGTAGGTTTCCTTATGAAATGACTAGGGGAGTGGTTCATGTTGATATTGCTGTCAGTTTCTAATGAACTTTGCCAATAATTTCATATAGCCCACCAAAAGCCTGTCATTTTGACCTTGACAAGACTTTTCAACGAGACATCGGAAGCAATGGGAGGTTTGCGAGCTAATCCAAGCAGGAGGCGTGAGATTGAAGACAATTCAAGGAAGTTAGGTGCATTGTTTGCCAAACTGAACAGCAGGGACATATCTAAAAATGCTGCTGATAAGCTTGTTCAGCTCTGCCAGGCACTTGACAACGGTGATTTCAGTACTGCCCTGCAAATCCAGGTAAGCGATTGAACTTTCTAATTCCAATTTTTTGCAAGCAAACTGAAGTTACCGTTTAGATCTGTTTGTTTGTTAATTTTAAATTTATTTTTCTTTCTTTTTCAATCAGGTACTTCTTACCACTAGTGAATGGGATGAGTGCAACTTCTGGTTAGCTACTCTCAAGCGCATGATCAAGACGAGGCAAAATGTGAGATTAAGTTAATAAGGAAGAAAATCCTGTTCTGATTGCTGGTTTTGGAACTCTTTTTGCGTGGTCAACATATTTACTTTTTTTGTACACAAAAGATGGCGTCTCCAGATTTGATCTTCAGGGTTTTGATTCCTTCTCCTGCTCTTCCTCGTGTCTTTATTTGGTTTTCGGTTTATACTACCTTGAGTTAGTGAGAGCATTAATATAGACTTCTCACTGTTCCCTTTTCATATTTGTAGTATTGATAAATAGCTTCCATTTTTTTTTTTTAAGTTTAATTTTGTTTTTGCAGTTCATATAATGTTCACCGAGCTGCTACTTTTGACATTTCTTGGTTATTAGATTATTGTAGGATGATTGTGCTTTTCATTTATATGAATAGTAAAAGTTTAATAACATGACCAATTTTGTTTAAGATGATTTCACTTTATTTATCTTTCTTATTATTATTATTGTTGTTGTTATTTGCATGATAGATTTCCTCAAAGTTTACTCTTTGCTAGTGAAAATCTCTTTAGAAATTAAAGCCTTGTCAATGTTTGTCTCTAGTATTATTCATGGGTTTTGTTGGAGGGATGGAGAGAGTTAAAAAGATAGAGAGTAGGAAGGAGAGAAAGTATTATAATAATTCTTTATATTGTTTGGAAGAAGAGTTAAAAGGATGGATGATAATTATTTGTAAAATTATTATATTATCTATTTAAATTATTTGTTAATAGTTTGTTTTGAGAGTAAAATAGTCTTTTGTGTAAAAATTGATAGATTCTATGGATCCTTCCATAAATGGAAGGATCCAAATTTGTGGGCTCAAGAAGATTAGCTCTTCCTCCATTTCCCCTTCCTTCCCCTCTTTCCTCCAACTCCTCCATCTCTCTCAAAGATTATGCGTGTAGTTTTAGGTCTCGTTCACTTTGCTGATTCGAGTTTAGAATTCGAGTTGAGATGTGATTTTATGTGAGAGTTTTTTACTGTAACAAAAAAGTTAGATGTGATTGTTTGTGAGAGCTTTTTACTGTAGAAAAATTTGAATTTTAAACTCGAATTAGCGAAGTGAACGGGGCCTTAATCTCCCCGATTCTGTAATGATACCCCACCTATAAGGCGTAGAAACGACATGTCGTTTAAAATAAGAGTTCCCAATTTCACTGATTACGCCCAAACGTGTACAAAAACAAGCGGTCAATTGTAGTACAATTTGAACGGTCAATCCCACGAGTAGGTATTAAATTGAACAAGAAATGACTAGCAAATAAAAAGCGTTAGGAAAGTAAGCAATCAAACAAAGAAAGGGAATGAGTGTTTTTGATAATTTTTTGAACAATTTAAAATGGAGAAAATTCAATAATAAAAAGTAGTAAAGCTTTGAGAATCCTCCATATGCTTTGTTCATCTAATTGGATTTTGATTCATAAATTGACTCAATTGAAAGTTTCACATCCCAAACAATCAATCGGAAAATAAATATTTGAAGAACATATGAATTAAAAATGTATTCGAGTAAATAAAATTCTAACGTTTAGAATTAGAAAAAATTATCTTATGAGAAATCTAAGAGCGACAATATACCGTTGACAATATTGCAGTAAAAGACTACTCATAAAACAATACCTATCAATATATAATTTAATGCAACAATCACATAAAAAGAGCTTGACTAGATTTATATGAAAGTTGACAATAAAATATATTGATAAGAAGAAGAAATATGATAAAAGAAAATTATTTACTCAAATGTATAAAACTTACAAACCATTGGAGAATCAAAAATCCAAACAAGT